TGCAGATGACATGATCCTCTACATAGAAAATCCTAAAGACTCTACCAGAAAATTACTAGAGATAATCAACGAATACAGTAAAGTTGCAGGATATAAAATTAACACAGAGAAATCTCTTGCATTCCTATACACTAACAATGAGAAAACAGAAAGAGAAATTAAGGAAACAATACCATTCACCATTGCAACAAAAAGAATAAAATACTTAGGAGTATATCTACCTAAAGAAACAAAAGACCTATACATAGAAAACTATAAAACACTGATGAAAGAAATCAAAGAGGACACAAACAGATGGAGAAATATACCGTGTTCATGGATTGGAAGAATCAATATTGTCAAAATGGCTATACTACCCAAAGCAATCTACAGATTCAATGCAATCCCTATCAAACTACCAACGGTATTTTTCGCAGAACTAGAACGAATAATTTCACAATTTGTATGGAAATACAAAAAACCTCGAATAGCCAAAGTAATCCTGAGAAAGAAGAATGGAACTGGAGGAATCAATCTGCCTGACTTCAGACTATACTACAAAGCCACAGTCATCAAGACAGTATGGTACTGGCACAAAGACAGAAATATAGATCAATGGAACAGAATAGAAAGCCCAGAGATAAATCCACGAACCTATGGTCACCTTATCTTTGACAAAGGAGGCAAGGATATACAATGGAAAAAAGACAACCTTTTTAACAAGTGGTGCTGGGAAAACTGGTCAACCACCTGTAAAAGAATGAAACTAGAACACTTTCTAACACCATACACAAAAATAAACTCAAGATGGATTAAAGATCTAAATGTAAGACCAGAAACTATAAAACTCCTAGAGGAGAACATAGGCAAAACACTCTCCGACATAAATCACAGCAGGATCCTCTATGACCCACATCCCAGAATTTTAGAAATAAAAGCAAAAATAAACAAATGGGACCTAATGAAACTTAAAAGCTTTTGCACAACAAAGGAAACTATAAGTAAGGTGAAAAGACAGCCCTCAGATTGGGAGAAAATAATAGCAAACGAAGCAACAGACAAAGGATTAATCTCAAAAATATACAAGCAACTCCTCCAGCTCAACTCCAGAAAAATAAATGACCCAATCAAAAAATGGGCCAAAGAACTGAACAGACATTTCTCCAAGGAAGACATACAGATGGCTAACAAACACATGAAAAGATGCTCAACATCACTCATTATCAGAGAAATGCAAATCAAAACCACAATGAGGTACCATTACACACCAGTCAGGATGGCTGCTATCCAAAAGTCTACAAGCAATAAATGCTGGAGAGGGTGTGGAGAAAAGGGAACCCTCTTACACTGTTGGTGGGAATGCAAAGTAGTACAGCCACTATGGAAAACAGTGTGGAGATTTCTTAAAAAGCTGGAAATAGAACTGCCATATGACCCAGCAATCCCACTTCTGGGCATACACACCGAGGAAACCAGATCTGAAAGAGACACGTGTACCCCAATGTTCATCGCAGCACTGTTTATAATAGCCAGGACATGGAAGCAACCTAGATGCCCATCAGCAGACGAATGGATGAGGAAGCTGTGGTACATATACACCATGGAATATTACTCAGCCATTAAAAAGAATTCATTTGAATCAGTTCTAATGAGATGGATGAAACTGGAGCCCATTATACAGAGCGAAGTAAGCCAGAAAGATAAAGACCATTACAGTATACTAACACATATATATGGAATTTAGAAAGATGGTAACGATAACCCTATGTGCAAAACAGAAAAAGAGACTCCTATGTATAGAACAGACTTGTGGACTCTGGGAGAAGGCGAGGGTGGGATGTTTCAAGAGAACAGCAATGAAACACGTATATTATCTAGGGTGAAACAGTTCACCAGCCCAGGTTGGGTGCATGAGACAAGTGCTCGGGCCTGGTGCACTGGGAAGACCCAGAGGGATTGGGTGGAGAGGGAGGTGGGAGGGGGGACTGGGATGGGGAATACATGTAAAAAAAAAAAAAAAGATACACTATGGTTGTGATTAAAAAATTAATTAATTAATTAATTAATTTAAAACAAACAAACAAAAAAAAAAAGAACTGGAAAATAAAGAAAAGGAAAAAAGAAAATAGTCACATACAATTCCATTTTTATAACCATTAGTAACATCCCAGGCTATATGCTTCAGATCTTTTTCTATTTATAGATATGCCTATGTTCATAGGTGCCTCATTAGCGCAGTAGGTAGCGTGTCAGTCTCATATAGATATGCCTATGTTCAGTTTTTGTAAAATTAGAAATTATTATATATCACCACTTTATCAGTTTACTTTTCTGTGCCTAATATACACTCGTATATGTTGTATTGAGTTGCATATTAGTTCATTATATGTGTGTTCTGTAATTTATTCATTGGACATTTAGATTGCTTTGAATTTTTCACTCATGAATACCAGTAATGTGAAATAATCTAATTACCTTTTGAGTTGTATTCAGATTAATTTCTTGGCAATTTATAGAAAATCATTTAATAAGCTATAGATATAAAACATTTAATACTTTTAAATAAATTGACAAATTGGCTTTTATAAAAACTTTAATTTTATTTTCATTGATAGTGTATGAGGTTTCTAGTTTCCATGTAACCTTGCCAAGCCAGTATAATTTATATGTGTGCATATATCTTATCTTATCCAATCTAATGACTTCTATTGGGCAATATGGGGCAAATTGTTTTAATTCTGTGCCTCAGATTCCTAACCTGTAAAATTAACTAACGAGAATAGAATTCAGAAATACAGTCACAGGTTTTAAAGTTGATATTGATTCCAGAGCCTCTCCGTGCTCCATACTAGAAGTGTAGCTCAAATGAAAAAAGACTGCAGTGAAGTTGTGTTAACACCAGATGAGGCTGAGGGGATGATTGTCAGCGAGCATGACAGAGGGTGCTGTCATGACTGCTCAGAATGTCTCAGTGTTTATCAGTGTTCATCAGACATGCATATTCTAATTCAGAGGGTGATGTGCATAACATATATAATTAAAATCTATTTTATTTTATTGCCATCTGCTTTGCTTTAAAATGCATGCTCCATAAGGACAGAGATCTTTGTCTTATTTATTGATGTATTTTAAACACCCACACAGAGCCTAACACATAGTAAAGTTTCAGTAACAAATATCTATTGAATAAGCAAATAAACTGAATGAAGCTACCCTATACCTTTCCAGAGGCTTTACCCCCTGGTACCCAGCAGAATGCCCTCCCCAGGATAACTATAGATGAGCTGCCATGACTGGGACCTCTTTCCAGAAACCATTGCTGTGTCCCATGAAACAGTCTCTCTCAGATATGTTAATACTGGCAGACTGGTTAAGATCCAACCTCCCCTTCTAGAATCCACATACTTCACAGAAATATTGGGTCTTTCTACTCGAACTCATGTTGGTTGTGTTAATAGTTCAATTCAAGAGGAGTGTTATTTCCAAGTTCTTAGGGACACTTTCATTGCTGACCCTTAGTACTATGTAGAATTACCACTTTATGGACTAGTTGAGAGAATATATGATATAACATATAATGTGAAATATAGAACTGTTCATCTAAGCAATATGCTGTGATGGTTAAAAACCCAGGACCCGGAGTCAAATTTCCTCAGTTCAAACCTGGATTCCACAATTTAATAGTTGTGTCAACTTCAGCAAGTTACTTGATCACACAGTGTTCAGTTTTCTCATCTGTAAAATGCAGCTAGTTCCTACATTATAGAATTAATGTGTGGGTGAAATGAGTTAAAACATATGAAGAAGTAGAAATAGTGAATATTATTACTATTATCTGTAATAATTGCATTGAGGATTTACTATGTGTCAAAACCCAAATTTATATTATTTCAGATAGTCTTTAAAACAAATCTGTAGACTGACCATTATTGTTATTCATAACTCATGAATAAGGATATTGAGGTTCAAAAGGTTTTAGTAATGCTCTAAAATCACATAGCTAGTGAGTGGTGGAAACTGGATTTAAATGCAGATGTGTATGAAATATTCTCTCATGGAGAAGTTTTTCTCAAGAGAATTAAAATATCTACATTCTCACTGACATTACAATTTCTAATATCTGATTTCTAGTATTTTTAGTCATGCTTACAACCCTAGAACATTTTTCAAGAAACTAGCTTTAAATGAATATGACTAAGCAACCATCTGTGGATCTGAGGGTCTATAGTTTCTAAAGACTCTTACAGTCACTTTTAGTGATTCAGCTGTGGTCCAATTTACATGTCTCTGTATTTCCTTTACTAGGACTTAGAAAAACTCAGTCAATTAAATAGTTAAGCAATTAAAAAGCTATAAGGTGACAAAAGATGACCAAAAACAGATAATTTGCATTCCACGGCACTGGATTGTTAAATATATTATAATCTTAAGAAAAGAACAGCTTTCCTTGAAGATCAAAATATAATGATTTCAGGATTCATTTTCAGCAATGTGTTGAAATTACAGGCACTCTAACCCAACAGTGATTCTGTGGGTGTGGAAGTGCCCTGATACCAGCAGTTGTAGAGATTCATCCATTGTAAAGTAACTGGTTGACCAAGTGCCCTGTGAGTGGCCAATATCCTCATCACAGTAACAGACTTGAAATTTGAACCCTTTTCAGATATCCTAGCAGACAAAACAATAAAACTGAAAAGTAATCCATTTTAAATGTCTGTGCACCTCTGTATTTGTGGGCATGATTTGCTATGCCGTGTTTCATGGATAATTTTTTTATATCCTTGAAATACTTGTTTTCATTGAAGCACACTATAAAACGTTGTGCTATCTTTTGCCAGGGGAAGGAGTTGTGACTTTTGGTAGACGGTGTCCTGAGAACTAGCGTGGCTACAAATTAGCAGAATAGCGGTAATTTGTACATCGTGCTTATTCAGGAAACCCATTAGAATGTTAACTCTGATGGCATGGGTTTACACAGGATTCAACTTGATGTTTGAAGATCCTATTTTTCTCTTCAACAGGTTAATTATGTATGGCTTTGTGAAGGCTATGGTATATGCTGACCAGCTGAAAAATGGAGATTTTCATTTCACTGACTGTTTGTTCTTCGGTTCACTGATGTCTGCTACAGATCCAGGTAATTGCCCAAATAATATGTTTTCTTTTTTCTAAGAGTCAAACATTTAAATTGAATTTTTCTCTAAAGAGCATCACCCAAGTCAACATAATAATTCCTTATTCCTTTTCACTTGCAGTTGACATATCTGCTAGTGATTTTAAAAAGCAGGTGAATATTCTAACAACTCTCAAAAAATGGTTTTCAAAGCAACTTAAAGTAATGGGGAAGACTCTTTAAAATTCTCCATTGTTTGTTTCCCTAGAACATGTAGCCATCTTGACTTATGGTTCTTAATTCTTCTCTATTTAACTTGTCTTCTTTCAAAAATGCTCCATTGCAGTGGTCCCCAACCCTTTTGGCACCAGGGACCAGTTTTGTAGAAGACAATTTATCCATGTACCAGCAGATTGGTGGGGGGGTGGGCGGTAAATAGTTTGGGGTTGATTCAAGCATATTACATCTATTAATGCCACCACTGATCTGACAGGAGGTAGAGCTCAGGTGGTAATTTGAGCAATAGAGAGAGGCTGCAAATACAGATGAAGCTTCATTCATTCAACCACTGCTCACCTCCTCCTGGGTGGGCCAGTGCCTAACAGGCCATGGACTGGTACTGGTCTAATGGCCCAGGGGTTGGGGACCCTTGTTCTATTGAATTAAATGGTAAAAAATAATTTTGAAAATTAATTACTATATAATGCTTCAAACATATTAAGAATAGGGAAAATAGTAAAAAAAAGTTGTCTTAAGTATAGTCGCTCAGTCGTGTCCGACTCTTTGCGACTCTGTGGGCTGTAGCCCACCAGGCTCCTCTATCCATGGGATTCTCCAGGCAAGAACACTGGAGCGGGTTGCCATTTCCTTCTCCAAGAGTTGTCATATACACTTCACATTATCAAATTATGATGATAATCAAATTTGGCCGAAATGTTTTATCAATATCTTCCTACATTCCTTCTTACTATGACTGATATATATTAAAACAAATCTCAGACATTGTATCATTTTATTTGCAAATGTTTTGAAAAATGACAGTTGTCATTATGAAATCTAAAAATATTAACAATCTTTTTTAATATTATCAAAGTGCTATCCTCTGTTCAAAGAGGCAGAATTTTCTTTTTGTCATTATCTTTATTAGTTCATGTACAAATTAGTCTGTACAAATTAGAACCCAAATAAAGGCTACACATTACAATTGATGGATATGGCATCTAGTATTTTTTTAATCTATATGTTACCCTTCCATCTTCTATTTTTCTTGTCACTTATTTATTGGAAACAGAAAGGCAAATTGTCTTGTGGTTGAATTAAATATGATTATTTGAAATGTTCCACTAGCCTCAGGATTTCTTGTAAACTGATGGTTAAATCTAGAAATTAGATCAGGGTTCATTTTTTTGGCAAGATTACAAGCTTGCTCTGAGTCTCTACAGAATCACATCAGCAAGCACAGAGTGTTTGGTGACCAAGCTGTCAGTCTGATCCATCACACTGCTGAATTATCGCTCCAGCAAAGACCACCAGGACACACCTGTAGTTGAATAAGACATGTTTATTACATGTTATAATGAAGAAACTGCTCACCAGAGGAACAGTGGGACCTCTCAGAGGGTGTTAGAAAGGAATTGTTATAGGGTGTGGGCTAATGCTTGGTGATTTTAGGGAGGGCTTAAGGTATCAGGACTTTGCTCTGGATTAGATGCTGTCAGAAAGCATGAGTGATAGGACATTTTAGTAAATCTTCTCTAGCAGGGGGAAAGACTGAATAGAGCCTAAGCCTACAATTGGTAAAGAAACAGCATCACTCATAATAGCCAAGATAGGGATGCTGCAGTTTGGACAGTGTTCATTATTTGTGCTTAAATGTGATTACCCAGTAGTCTTGTTTTTGTCTTTATTCTTTATGGTCACAGAGTGAAATTGTCTGTTTTGTGTGAAATTGTTTATACTCAACAAGAGAACAACAAGGCCCAGCTGATAGTAACAGGCCAGCTCCCACATACCAGGGGCTGCTCTTCTCTTTCTTAGACTAGCCCAGCAGCATTGGCACCATGTGGCACCTTGTTTTAAATACCGCACCAGAGCTACTGAATTAGCTTCTAAAATTTAACAATATCCTCAAGTGGTTTATGAATGCATGCATGCTTGCCTGCTCAGTCTCTTCAGTTGTGTCCAACTCTTTGCGACCCTGTGGACTGCTGTCCACCAGACTCCTCTGTCCATGGGATTCTCCAGGCAAGAATACTGGAGTGGGTTGCCATACCCTACTCCAGGGGATTTTCCCAACCCAGGGTTTGAACCCACATCTCTTGCATCACCTGCATTGCAGGTGGATTCTTTACTCACTGAGCCACCTGGGAAGCCCCAGGTGGTTTATATGCACACTAAAATTTGAAATTTAGCTAGTCAAATAAATCCCAGTCATGGGGAAATTCTGTAATCAAATCCTAATGACCTTCAACCAGACCAGTTTACCTGCCTTCTGAGAAATCTGTATGCAGGTCAAGAAGCAACAGTTAGAACTGCACATGGAACAATGGGTTGGTTCAAAATCTGGATAGGAGTACGTCAAGGTTGTATATTGTCATCTGACTTATGTAACTTATATGCAGAGTACTTCATGTGAGAGGCACAAGCCGGAATCAAGATTGCCAGAAGAAATATCAATAACCTCAGATAGGTAGATGATACCACCCTTATGGCAGAAAGCAAAGAGGAACTGAAGAGCCTCTTGATGAAAGTAAAAGAAGAGAGTTAAAAAGTTAGCTTAAAACTCAACATTCAAAAAACTAAGATCATGTCTTCTGGTCCCATCACTTCATGGCAAAAATATAGGGAAACAATGGAAACAGTGAGAGACTATTTTCTTGGTCTCCAAAACCACTGCAGATAGTGACTGCAGCCATGAAATTAATAGATGCTTACTCCTTGGAAGAAAAGCTATGACAAATCTAGACATCATATTAAAAAGCAGACATCACTTTGCCGACAAAGATCTATATAGTCAAAGCTATGGTTTTTCCAGTAGTAATGTACAGATGTGAGTGGAACCATAAAGAAGACTGAGTGTCCAAGAATTGATGCTTTTGAAGTGTGATGTTGGAGAAGACTCTTGAGAATGCCTTGGACAGCAAGGAGAGGAAAACAGTGAATCCTAAAGGAAATCAACTCTGACTATTCATTGGAAGGACTGATGCTAAACCTGAAGCTCCAATACTTCAGGCCACTAATACAAAGAGTTGACTCATTGAAAAAGACCCTGTTGTTGGGAAAGATTGAAGGCAGGAAGAGAAGGGGATGACAGAGGATGAGATTGTTGGATGGTATCACTGACTCTATGGACGTGAGTTTGAGTAAGCTCCGGGAGTTGGTGATGAACAGGGAAGCCTGGTATGCTGCAGTCCATGGGGTCGCAAAGAGTCAGATACCACTGAGTGAGTGAACAACAACTAATTTTAGCTAATGACCTTAGTACCCATCAATGGTTATGCTAGTCTAGTATGTATTAGTGGTTATAATCTAGTGCTGTGTTAATTCTATCCTACCTTTTTGCATGTATTAGCTGGTACTCTCCCAAAAGAAGTAGTTCTCCAGATCAACTCTTTGAGTGCCTGTGGTATTATTTAAACAAAAAAATCGATAAATTATTGATCTTTGTATTTACTAATTTTCAAAATAATGAATTGTTTCTCTAGCATCTCCCACATATGATCAAGGAGGTATATTTTTTCTTTTCTTACTATTTTTTTTTGCTTTTATTTTTTTAATTAATTTATTTTAATTGGAGGCTAATAACTTTGCAATATTGTAGTGGTTTTTGCCATACATTGACATGAATCAGCCATGGATGTACATGCGTCCCCCATCCTGAAGCCCCCCTCCCACCTCCCTTCCCATCCCATCTCTCAGGGTTGTCCCAGTGCACCAGCCCTGAGCACCCTGTCTCATGCTTCGAACTGAGACTGGCGATCTATTTCACATATGGCAATATACATGTTTCAAAGTATCATATCAATACATGGATTTAAACATAGTTGATATGTTCCCATCTACTACAGTAATTACACTTTCTGATGATCAGAATATTCCATTTTTGACAACTAGGGGATTCCAGATTCTCCTACAGCCATTTGCCATAAACCCAAGTCTTTCAGAGATTTCTTATTTTGGAGCAGGACTAGACATTCCAACCTTATCTTGTATGTTTCCTGTATCCTGACGTGGAAACAAACATATCTCTAAGAAATCTTGCTTCTTTATAAGAGGGAAATTTATTTAGAGCTTAAAATGTGGGCACTTAGGTGTTTTCATTGCTATTGGATTGGTCATTGTTTCTAGATATTTTTATTTGTTTTGAAGGAGAAATAATATCACAAATTCATATGAATATTGTTAGTTTCAATTTACATTTATTTAACTGCCTTGAATTTACTTTGTATTTAAATTTTTCTTCTGCTTCTTTTCTTCTTTCTATTACATTAATATAATTTCTTATGTCTTTTAAATATATTTTTTCAAGGTCATAATATACATTATCACTAAAAATATGATTATTGAAAACTGCTTAGATTTCATTGCAGTTCTTTTTAAACTTTATATATATGCCACTAGGATGAATAGCTAAAAATTGCTCTGTTTTAAGAGTTCTTAAAATAATCCTCTATGTAGTTAAGCCACAAGTCAAATATACAATAATGTTCATTTTTTTCACTTTGCTTTTAATTTCTGTTTTGAAATTAGATTAAATATCTATAGAATTCCAAAATGAAAACCAAAGAAAAGAAGAGAAATCTAGCTTTTATCCCTGACTTCTCTACTCCAATTTTTCAGCCATTTTGGCTGGTGTTTAGTTTATTCTTCTGCTTCAAATCTAAGCAAATAAGCATGAATACACCCAACCATGCACACATCGTTAATCACCTTGCTGTTCTTTAATTAGTAGTATTTTGAAAAGTAATGCATAGCAACATATAAAGAGCTTTTTCATTTTCTTTTATAGCTGCAGAGCATGCAGT